CCTTCTTCTTTTTTTTTTTTTTAAATATTTTATTTATTTCTTTGACAGATTAGAGATCACAGGTAGGCAGAGAGGCAGGCAGAGAGAGAGAGAGAGAGAGGAGGAAGCAGGCTCCCCGCTGAGCAGAGAGCCCAATGCGGGGCTCGATCCCAGGACTGAGCCCAGGACTGAGCCCAGGACCCTGGGATCATGACCTGAGCCGAAGGCAGAGGCTTTAACCCACTGAGCCAACCAGGCGCCCCTTCAGATCCCTTCTTCAGTGTAGGGGAGATCCTGGCCATCTGTAGAGGAGGCGCTGGACCTCAGGGGGGTCATCAGAGGAAGGTGGAGAGTAGGAGCTGAAGTGGGAGGCAAGGGTTGTGCATGTCATAGAGCGTCTCCGATGCCCAGTTACTCTGGTCGGCTGTGGGGAGCCATGGAAGTTTATTAAGTGGGGAGGAAGGGGATTAGGTGTGGAGAAACCAAAGGCTGGGGAGCTGGAAGAGGACCAGGTGACAATACAGGGCCACCAGAGGAGGGAGTGGGGCAGGGGCTGTTGTGGGGAGAGGACAGGGCAGGCCTGAGCCTTTGGTGGACCTCTGACTTGGGAAGGAAGGAGGGGTGGGATGAAGAGGAGGGAGGGGTTCCTGGAGGGGACCCAGGCTCCGGGCAGGCTGGGTGGGGGGCCATGAATTGGATGCTGGCTGACTTGAGTCTGAGGTGCCTCTGGGCTTCTGACAGCAAGTCTGGGAAGTGGCTGGAAATACCGGCATTCCTGAGAAGAAGCCAGAGTGAGTGGGGTTGTTTTTGTCAACGTTCCCAAAGCTGGGAAAGAGCCCCATCAAGATCTGAACCCGATCTGTTTCCCTGTGTAGGTTCACACCGAGGGACCAGCAAAGGGGGACCTCTGGGTCCTGAAATCTGAGCTCGGCAGAGAGATCAGCGGCTTTTACCCAGGAGGGAGCTGATGCTTTCCTGGGGGCACCGCAGCGGGGAGGGCTGCCGCAGAGCCCAGCTGCCTCAGGGGCTCTGCAGGCAGGATCTTCAAACCCAGACTTCTGCTCTGCAGAGGAGCCATTTCCAACCAGCGCCCACCTTCCTGATTCCCCAACACCAGTCTGCCACTTGGAGCAGACATTAAGTATGTGCAGCCCAGTGTCCCAGCCCCTATAGGCCTCCTCTCACTTAATCCTCACAAAGCCCTTTCAGGGGGGCATTAATAATATTGTTTCTACTGTAGAGATGAAGGAACCAACCGAACCTTCCAGAGGTGAAGGGCCTTGCCCCCCTCCACTGTGGGGGTGGGGGTGGTCAGCATGGCCCAGTGGCTCTCTGAGTTCTATCCGTCTAGGGAGGCCTGCTGGAGGGGCCCCACCCCACCCTGATTTCAAGTCTGCAGTCCCAGCTCCCAGGACTTTCCCAACACCCCCACCGCCCCCATTCCGTTCTTCATGGCCCAGCTCCCTTGGGAACAGCCAGACCCGCCCCCTCCCCCTCCCGGGCTGTGCTCTTGGCAGCTCTGCCGCCCTGGGCTCTGGTCCGGGGGTGGTCCCTGGCGGTGAGAAGGGCGGGGTGGGCAGAAGCTGGGATCCGCTGGGCTGAGACTGGGGCATCCGGAGAGCCGGAGGCTCCCACCTCTGGGTCCATGGTGCAGGTCCAGGGGTGGCTTTGGAAAGGGGTGGCTTGAGGTTTAATCACTTTATCAATGTTTGTTTGTGTAATTCAGCCCTGAGATGCTTTTCCTTCCATCTGTCCCCACCATCTGCTCCCATCAGGATTTTCCAAACCGTTTGGGACCTAAGAGGGGAGGGTGGGGGCTGTGCCTCTGAGGGGTTGGGGAGGGGCTGCCTTCATCTACCTCCCAGAGAGGCTTCTAGAAGAGAGCCCAGGCTCCAGAGTCACATGCAACTAGGTTCAAGTTCTGGCATCCTTACTTTCTTGTTGTCTGACCTCCAGCAGGTGACCTGAGGTCTCTGAGCCCTGAGGATTAGTTCAGATCAAAGGAGATGATACTTGAAAAGTACCCTGCATACAGTAGGTGCTCAAGAGATAGGCAGTTCCCTCTCCATTCACCCCCCACTTGCCTCTCTCTCTGGCACCCCTCTTTAGTGCTAGAGGAGGGTAGTCAGCTCTGGTTTCTCTACTGTAGCCCCATTCCTCAGGCCCTGGGGACCCTCCCCTGGGATTTGCACTTTCTTCCAGCCCCCATGGGTCCTGCCCATTGCTCAGTCCTCTCAATGACCCCACTAGATGCCTACCTGAAGTTGCGCCTCTCCCTCCCTCCTAGATGCCTCAGTTTGGAGTGGGAGGTGGGTGAGCATCGTTGGCAAGGACACCTCCAGCCTGACCCCCTTCATAGAGCTTTTCAAACCTACAGAGTTCCAGAGCCACTAGGACCTCCCTCTACTCTGCTCATGAGCAGAATTTCAGGCCTATGAGGGGTCTGTAAGGCAGTAAGGGAGCCCTGTCTTATTAGTACTGTGGTCAGGAGTTTCAACCGGGGATATCAAGGCACGTAGATCATTTGTCTAATATTCCTGCTCCAAAACGGAAGAGACTTGCTCCTGGTCATCCAGGAGTGAAGGGCCCAGGCAGGCCTCCTGACAGCTGCCCCTCTGGCCCCCTTTCTGGACTACATCCCAGGGCACTAGGTCTTGGGGGTCAAGGGCCTTTGGTGTGCAGTGTGGGGGAGCCCTAAGCCTTCCGCTTTGGCTCAGGGGACCTCCCAGTGCTTCCTAGGTCCCCAAGAAGGGAAAGGTGGCTGATGAGAAATAGTGCAGAGATCATCCGAGTCCAGCTCTGCCCCCAGATCTACTCTACTCATTCCAGGTTCAGGGAAAGTCAAGGGAGATGAGGCCTCCAGGGAGAGAAGTCATGGTCCTGCCTTTAGGAGACAGAATTCAGACTGGAGGTCCTGAGGGCAGGGCATCAGAGTTGCCCTCACAGGGAAGAAAAACGGTGGGGATGGAAGGCCTCTGAGGGGCTAAGCCAAGAAGTCAGCCTGGAGGAGGTGGAGCTGGGGTGGGGAAGTGGGAGAAAGCAGAGACAGTGGCTGAGCAGCTCCTTGTGAGGGAAAACTGAGGCCTCACGAGGATGGAGAGGAGGATCCAGACCAGGCTGGGAAGATTCTCTGGCTTCAGGCCAGAGAGAGAGAGAGGAAGGAGGAAGAGTGGGAGGGGAAGCCCAGGCAGAGAATGCAGGGCTATCCTGTCACCTAAACCCAAACAGGGAAAGCTCTCCAGGCCTAGTGGGGAGGATGGAGGGAGCTTGTCACTCCAAGGGCCTGGGGTGGGGCCTGAGTGGCAAGTCTTTCCCTGCCCCCAGGTCCTCAGGCAGGAGGCAGCTGGGGATCACCCACGCATGTCTGGCGTCTCTCACGCCTCCACTGGGGGTCCCAACACCAGAGCCAAGGCACACAGAGGAACTGATGTTCTAGAGGGCCCAACTGCCCCCCCCCGCCCGGCACCGAACCGCCCCCGGCTCCCCAGCTCCTCCAGCTGAGACCTCCCCATCCTCAAGCAGAAGGACTAAGACTAGACTTTGGACACCTAAACTGCTTGGTCTGGGACCTGCATGTGGAGCTTTGGGTTGAGCTCTGCAGAGCCAGGGGCCTCCCAGCAGCTGTTTCCGAACTGGAAGGAGCTGTCCAGTCAGAAGGTAGATGCTATGGACTCACCTTCAAAGGAACCAGACCCATCTCTCTCACCCAGAAGTGGCCCTCTGCTCCTACCCTGCCTCCCACTCCTTAAGTCTGTTCTTGGCAAAACGCCTGAGTAAGCCTGACCTGAAAGTCAGACCCTCACTCTGCTCAAAGCCCCAAGAGCTTCCCATCTCAAAATCCGAAGTCCTTGGAATGGTCTAAGCACATCCAGCATTCCAAACTCTGAACCCCGCCTCAACTTTTCCCCAAACGTTTATCTAATACATCATAGGATTGACTTGTATATTTTGTCCATTGTTTATTGCCCACTTCTGTAACCCCCTTGCCTAGAACAATGCTGGGCACAGAAATAGTGCTTGATGAATGTGCACTGAATGGATGAGGGCATATGGATTCAAGTCCAAGCCTTCCACTCACCAGCTGGGAGACACGGGAAAAATCATGCAGCCCCTCTCAACCTCAGGTTGCTCATTTGTGAACAGGGGACAATAAGGACCACCTCCTAAAGATAAAGGACAAAATTCAAGCTCAGGATGTGGGGGTTATTGCAGAAGCTGGGGGGAGGGAGGATGCAGCCCCCACCCAGGCAGGAGGAGCTGCAGTTGGGGGAGGGGGTCAGTGACTCCCGAGAAGGGCTGTCCTGTGTGCCGCTGAGGTGCCTACGCACTTCAGAACCGCCCCCCACCCCCAGGCTAGAAATGCTTGCTCCCCAGGCCCACATATGACCAGAGGCAGGGGAAGGACGGGAGTAGGGGAGGAGCAATTTAGATCAATGTTGGGAGGTGGGATTCATTCTGAGAGGAATCCGAAGATGAGATGGGGCGGTGGGCAGGAGATGGGGGCGGGGCTCTGTAAGGCCGAGGAGGGGTAGGGGGCGTGCCTGGCCCCCAGAAGACCTCCGGGACTGGAAGAGTGGGCGCTGCCCCCTCGCGGAAGAGCCCCAGCTCAGTTAGTTCCCGAGTTGAGGCGCGGGGGCGGGGAGGGTGCCTATCGAACCGCCCAGACTCCGGATTCCGCCCGCGGAGCGACCTGCAGCTCCGCGCCCAGGTAGGGATGGGGGAGGAAGGAGGGAGGAGCGGGGGTTGTCCCCGGTTCGGAAAGAGGTCTCTGGGCACTGACCCCTCCCACCCCGACCCTATTTGGGCTACCTGAGTCGAGATGCTGAGATGGAGACCTCTGTCCTCCTACCCCGGCGGGCGCTCCCTCGTGAGGGGGCCAGGGAAGTGAGGGCGTCCCCCTTCCCTCTCCCGGGCAGGGGTGGGGGCGGAGTCAAGCGCCCCGCTCCCCCCGCCCTGGGGGCTGGAGGGAAAGGGGAGGAACGGGGACCCCTCCGGGGAGGGGCTCTGGGCGAACGCCGCGGGGCGTCTCCCTGGCAGTCCCTCCCCCCGCCCCCCGCCCGCCCCTCCGGCCGCCTCTGCCGCCGCGCGCCGCAGCAGCGCCGCCTTCCCTGCGCAGTCGGTGTCTCCGCGTCGCTGGGTGAGTGGGGGCCGCTCCGGCCGGGGCTGGGGGATGCGGGGAGGGGGCAACCCGGAGGGAGGGGTCCCCGTCGAGCCTCTCCAACCCCGCCGCTCCCGCGCCTCCCGGGAAGCCTGCCTCCGGGGGCGCGGGGAAGAAGGGGGCTCCCCAGGGGCAGGAGCGCGGCGCTCTCCAGGGTCCTGACCGCCGAGTGGCCGGCCGGGAGGAGTCGCGTTCCGGCCGCCTCGGAGCGCCCCCTCCAGGAGGGGCCCCGCTCCCGGCGCTCTGAAGCGTGGGCTCCGCGCGAGAGCTGGGGAGAGGTTTGGAAAGGGTTCCCCAGGTGAGTTTCTCAGGTCGAGCTGTGGGTCCTTCCCATCTGGGGGACTAGGGGGTCTTTGCGGAGACGACAGAATCTCCTACCACCTTCGTTTCCAAGTCTCCCGATTGGGAGGGGCAGCTTTGAGGGTGGCAGGGAGGAGGGGGCACTGGAAGAGCTTTCCTGCTCAGTGCATCTCTCTGCCCCCGCCCCGATGACCCAGTTCCTTGGACCTTGAGGAGGGGACTAAGGGACACACTCCTCCGCCTCAGCCCCACGCATTTCCTCAGTCCCCTCCCACACACTTGTTCACTGGGTCCTCAGTCTGGGGCAGAAGAGGCTGCTTTGGAAAGGAGGGTCACCAACTTACAAAAACATGCGTGTGACACACTGCTGAGGACACACACAAGTCCCCAAATGGCCATGTAGGCACATCGCCCTCTTACTGTGATGGGTGCGCACCTAGTCACAGGCACATATATAGACTGAAACACACGAGAGTCAAATGCAATGCAGAAACCAGGGGCATCCATGCATACATGAACACAAGCACTCACACACATGCTCATTACATGCACTCAGAGCTTCGTGCAGATGCACACACAAGGAACCCCCCTCACTCTGTCTCACTCCCAGCGCCAAGCTGGGGGGAGGGATTCACCAGCCTGTGCCCCTCCATCCCTGCCTAGAACTGCCTGGCTGTCTCCTCTCCCTTGCCTTCCCCTCAGCCCCCCACACCCTAACCTCCTACACGGAAAAGGTAAGTATTGGGGGAGGGTTGGCTGGCCAAGGCTCTCCCTGGAAAAGAGACCCTAGTAGGTCTGAGAAGGGCTGCGGCTCCCTCTCCTGGGACCTGGAAGCACCTCTGGGAAAAGAAAAATGGCAAGGATGCCTGAGGGTCCCACGTGCAGCTGCCCATGTGAGAGGTGTCAGCATGGGAGTTGGCTTGTGATGGCATGTGTGAGACATGTGGGGTCGTGGGCTGCTGTCTTGATGCACAGGGTAGGGGAGCTGTTGTGCCGTGTGTCAGAACATGTGAGTTGTGGAGCTGAGGGAATGCTGTCATGTGTGGAGACATGGTGACCCATGGGTGGCTATGGGCTGGTATTTGAGTGGCATGGGAGCCGGTGTATGGATTTGCTGAGCTGTGGAGCCTGATATGTGTCAGTGTGTGTTCATCTGTATATTGTCGTGCATGAGCCTTGTGGCATCTGGGTCCACGTAAATCACTTTTGTTTAACACTTAGCATCATTCCAAGTGCTTCACATGTATTAACTCATTTAATCCCCCCAGTAACGAGGTAGGTACTGTTACCCTCACTTTATAGATGGGGCAGAGAGAGTATAAGGAGCTTGTCTAAGGTCACCTGGCTGGTAAGAGGCAGAGCTGAGATTCAGACCCAGGTGGTCTGGCTCTGGTGCCTTGTGGTGGCCTTTGTCAGGACCATGTGTGCAGTCAGTGTCTGGGCTGCAGGTGTATTTTGTAGCAAGCGGGCATACGTGAGGCAGTGAAGGAGCAGGAGGGAGGAGGGAGGACGAGAAGGCCTTTTGCACCTCCCTGGGCAACTCTGGGAGTCAGCTCTGTCACTCCATGCCTGTGCGACCTGAACCAGGTCACTTTGCTTCCTTGAGCCTGCCTTCTCATCTGTAAAGCGGGGCTAATCCCCAGACTTCCCTTGGTGAGGGTAAAATGGTATACATCTGTGACAGCCCAGTGGCTGGTGCTGAGCAGGCCCTCAGTAGATGAGCCCCTTCCTCTGCCTCCTGGTCTGTTCCCTGGGAACGTGTAAGGTAGGGGACATGGTGTGGAGCAGGTCACAGAGGCAGAAGGAGGACTCTGAGCAGCTCCTCTCTTCCCCTGGGTCAGATGAGAGGCTGGGGTGGCTGGTGTCTGGGGCCCTTCCTGGAGTGGTGACAAGGGGCCAAGAGGGCCTGACCATTCCTCTCTACCCTTTGAACCCCTCGGGGACCCAGGTGGGACTTGGCTTGGCGGCCATGGGCAAGCAGAACAGCAAGCTGCGGCCGGAGATGCTGCAGGACCTGCGGGAGAACACGGAGTTCTCCGAGCTGGAGCTTCAAGAGTGGTACAAGGGCTTCCTCAAGGACTGTCCCACGGGCATCCTCAACGTGGACGAGTTCAAGAAGATCTACGCCAACTTCTTCCCCTATGGTGACGCCTCCAAATTCGCCGAGCACGTCTTCCGCACATTCGACACCAACAGCGACGGCACCATCGACTTCCGGGAGTTCATCATTGCGCTGAGCGTGACCTCGCGTGGCCGCCTGGAGCAGAAGCTCATGTGGGCCTTCAGCATGTACGACCTGGATGGCAACGGCTACATCAGCCGTGAGGAAATGCTCGAGATTGTGCAGGTGGGCCCCTGGGCCCCTCAGGATGCCAGGTGCAGGGCCTGGCCTCAGGCACCTGCCATCCCTTTTTATCCTCTCAACGGCCTTCGTGGGTAGGTAGTGGCAGGTGCTACTCTTGTGGCCCATTTGAAAAACCATAAGGAAATAATTTCCAGTTTCAAGAAAAGTTGAGAAAACTCCCATATATCTTTTACCCAGATTCACCAATTAACTTTAACCATATTTGCTTTATCATTGTGTGTGTGTGCGTGCGCATGTGTGTAATGCTTTGCCGTTGTTCTCAATGTGACCCTCTAACCCTGACTACATCAGGATGTATTTCCTAAAAACAGGGACATACTCTTACATAACCGATAATATGATTATCGAAGTCAGGACATTTAATGTAGAAACAATGCTATTATCTAACTTACCAAATTCCAATTTTGCCAACTGTCTCAAAATGTCCTTTATAGCCCTTTTTACCCAGGTCCAGGATCACATGTTGCATTTCGTTGTCATGTCTCTTTAGTTGCCTTTAATTTATAACAGCCTCTCAGCCTGTTTTTCAAAACTTGACATTTCTTCAGAGTACAGGCCAGTGATGTTTCATTGATCCTCATTTACGCAGGAGAAAATGGATGGTCAGAGAAGTAAAGACATTCACCCAAGGCCACACAGCCCATGAGTGGACCACCTGGCTCCACCAACCACTTCCCATCTGGATACCGGTCACCTTTCAACTGACTGAGGGCCCATTAAGAGCCTAGTACTAACTGAGATGTCTATATCCATGAGCCAGTGCCTCCTTTCATTAACTCCATGAGGCTCAGAGAGGTGAAGTAACTTGCTCAAGGTCACACAACATGTCACCAGAGTTAAGTTCAAGCTGACTACTCTGAGCTGCCCTTAGAAATGGGTCTGGCTTCCAGTTCTGGAGTTGGCTTCATCTCTTAGATCTCTCCTTTGTAAAATGGGGTGATGATACTGACCTCACAGGGAGATTTAAGGACCTGATGTGAATGCCCTTTCTTAGTACAAGTTTAAGTTTAACACATGTTAGCTCTCCCTCAGAAAATTCCCAAGTGCCTACCCCTTTGGCCTGTCATCGAAGTCCATTAGGGCTCTGGTTCTGTTTTATCTATCCAGTTCCTAGTTCACTTTTTGCCTGAGCCTGTGTTTCTTCACCCAAGTGGTGGGGTGTTAGTTCCCTATTTCACCAGACTATTGTAGGTACAGAGTGGGATACGGGCTCCAGGAGATGGTCCAGCATCTAATTGTTACCGGAAAATGTTAGAAGTTGTCAGTTACTGTTGTCTCCTCTGCTCTACTCTAGCTAGAATGGCCTTTTCAACATCCTTGGGATATGCCCCGAGTAATCCCACTGCACAGCTTTGCACATGCTCTTGCTCCCTTTTCTTCTGCCTCTCTGAAATCTTTCCTCTGGTCCCTCAGCTCTGCTGCTTCCCCTTCCATCTCATCCAACCCATCCTGGATTTCGCTTTGGCTTCTCTCTTGCAAAGCGTCTAGCTCATGCGATGCCCTCCCTGCCTATCGTTAGGCGTAAAGCCTTAATGTCTGTCTGTGACCCCCCATGGGCCAGGCATTAACTCTCTAGCTGATGGCTAGTGGGACGTTCTGGGGGTCCTGGTGGAAAGGTTGGGGCAGGTGGGGTGATGGAAGATCCCTCAAGGGATTGGATACCAACCAATATGAGGGATATTACGTTTTACCACTTAGTGTGGTTGCACTGGTAACGACCGGTAAATCTCGGCCCAGCGGGAGGTGCCAAGCCCAAGATATCAGTCAAGCCAGCCTCATTCCTTGGCCATACTTAGGATCCCTTTCTGGCTGGTCTCTGCTACCTACGCCCTCATTTCCTTTATGGCAGCCGCGGGCCCCGAGACGGCCAGTGCAGTCAGAACTCTGCAAACCCCAGTGACTGATTAATTACAAGCCAGTTCCCGTGAAACAACAAGTGCACAGCAATTCCAGACAATTAATTAGGAGGCCCAGGAGAGGCTTGTCATGATTGGAGCAGTCACTCTCTAAGTCACTCGCCCATCCTTCTCGGGACCCAGCCCTATGGTCCGGTGGTGGGCACACTGCAAGGGAAAATGCTGCCTCTTGGCCTCTTGGGGCCCCTACTCTGGTAGGAGAGAACAAGTGTGCAGCAGCCCACGCGGACTAGCTAATGCAGCATCGGGGAGTCTAGGGGACTGAAAGGCAGGCAAGACCTGAAGATGCGGTGGATGAGGAATGATGATACTAGAAGCTTCTGTTTACTGACCACCTACTCTAGCCAGCTACTATCCCAACTATACAAACCGTCTCCTTCAATCCTCGAGGCAGTCCCTATGGGGGAGACATGAGTAAACTGAGGCTCACAGAGGTTAAGGACTTGTCTGATATAGTGATTAGTGGAAACAGGATGCCACTATAGGCACATCGTCCTCCAAAGTTCTGTCTGGTCATTACCAGCCCCAAGCATCTATCCAGCAGCTATGAAAGAGCGGATTCTAATTCAGTCTCTGGCATTAATCCCCCTTTCCAAGCCCCATTTCTTATCTGGAAAGTGGGGATCATGATACCTGCTTTTCAGTGCTGTTGTGAAGTTCAGAAATAATGTGTGTGAAGTATCCAGCACACAGCAGGTATCGGGTAAGTGGTAGCCAGGGTTACTGTTCCAGGTGGAAGCTGTCCATTCTGGGAAACCCAAAAGGAGTAGAGGTATTTGGTTGCAGCAGGATCACCTACCAGGGGAGGCCTGGTGATGGAGAGGTCAGCAAGCACCTTGAGTTCCTGGGGCTGAATGGTTTGGACTTGGTAGAAAGAGCAGTGAGAGGTGCCAAAAGCTTTTAAACTTTTAAATGGTGGAGTCCCTGCCAGATTCCAGGCACTGTGCTGAATTCTGAGGATATGGGCATTAGCTAGATGTCCATGATCTTTATCTGTAGGCCGGGGACTAGGAGCAATCCTACAAAGGCAAAATTACTTCCAGAGAGGTGTCCCCAAAGGAAAAGCCCTGGAGACTCTGGGCCAGCATATGGGCCTTGGCCCAGCAGGGATCAGAGAAGGTCCCCCTAAGGAAGTGCCATGTAAGTTGCCTCCCAAGGAAGAGTGGGAGGCAGCAGAAGGAGCGTGGGGCAGTATCCAGAAGGAGCTGGGTGCACGGTGGGCTTGGAGGGAAGCCTGGGTGTGTGATGGGAACGAGGGAGCAGCCCATTGGGTTGAGGACGCGGCGGAGATCTGTGTTTGGAAAGATTTCAGAGGCTGTGCAGGGGACAGACCTGGGACAGCGCAGGGAAGAGACCAGTAGGGAGGCTGAGCCGGATCTAAGGCAAGGGAAGTTTTTGGGATGGGAGAAGGGAGGCTTCTTGGTGGATGTGTCAGTAGCAGAAAGCTGGCAGATTGGGGCCATCGGTCTGGTCTTTTGAGTTCTGGGGCGCTGGGACCCACCTATCCTACAGGCCAAGCCCTACGTGCTCTGTGTACATTTAGCACAAATACGCTCCTTCGCGTTGCCTCCAGAGATCCTGCACGTGGCAGCTGCAGTTCTGGGCTCAACTGAGCGCATACTGTCCCCGCCCTTGGCAGATGCTCACTTGAGTTTATTTGCATAACGTCTCCTCCCGCTCTGAGCCCAGCGCTCCGGGCCCTCCAGCCCTTGGTGCGTCCCTGCGCCCCCTGCCGGCCACAGAGGCACCGCAGCCCAATGTCACCCACTCCGCCCAGCGCCCCCTGCGGGCCCCCAGAGCGCGGGCCGCCCAGAGCCCCGAAGTTTCAGAAAAGCTGCGCTAAGACGGTACTTACCCTGGAGCCCGCGGCGCCGGGTGTTCTAGCCCCTTCGCTCTCTGGGCCCTGATATCCTCCAACATCTCTCCAGTCCCCCTGCACGTAGGCACCCCCAAATTCTCGGTGCGCACTCAGAGCTTCCCGCCGCCGCTCCTTTGTACGTGCAGATTGCTCTGCCAGGAATGCCTTTCCCATCTGGCGCTCCAAGGGAACTTGGTCGGGACCCGCTCCAATAGCCCCCCTCTTTTGGGAAGCCTTCCTAGGTAGTCCTTCCTGAAGCCCCCCTCCCCCGCCCTTCCGGTTCTCAGTGACCACATCTCCACCTCACCTAGGAGGAGCTGCAATCTGCGTGTCTGGGGGCGGTTTGGGAAGATGGGAATGGGGGTGGAGGGTCGGGCAGGCTCCTCTCACCCTGCCTCCCCCTCCCGCCCCTCAGGCCATTTACAAGATGGTTTCGTCTGTGATGAAGATGCCGGAGGACGAGTCGACCCCAGAAAAGAGGACCGAGAAAATCTTCCGCCAAATGGACACAAACAACGACGGTGAGGGGGCAGGGGCGGGGCGGGGCGGGTGCCACTCCCCCTTCCTCTCCCGCTGCTCTGCTCTGCCTCCCTCGCTGCGCGGTCCCCCATCACTGCTCCCCTTGCCCCGCAGGCAAGCTGTCCCTGGAGGAGTTCATCCGCGGGGCCAAAAGCGACCCGTCCATCGTGCGCCTGCTGCAGTGCGACCCCAGCAGCGCCTCCCAGTTCTGAGCGAGAGGACCCAGGTTCCCCCTCCTCCCTGCCTTCACTGGCCCTCTCCCGGCTATCAGCTTCCTCTCCCTTGTGTCCATCCAGCCTGGGGGTCACACTGGGCACTCCCCCCAGGGCCTGCACTGTACCCTTAGGGGTACCCCGCAGTACCCCTAAGGCCCAAGCAAGCAAGAGGTCGGCACCGTCAATCCGAGAGGCAGTATCTCCCTTAGGCAAGGATCGAGACGCAGGCTCTGGCTGGGTCTGCCCTCCCTCGCCCAGACAGAACTTCGACCATTCTCCCCACCCCCACGCACCCCACGCCTCCCCTACTCCCACGCAGCCTCAAGCTCCTCCCCCAACCACCCGCAAGCTCCCCAACCCCCACCCCACCCTTGTAGCTCTCAGTCAGGGTGGAAGGGGAAAGTATTCCCAGGTGTGGAGGCTGTCTTCATCTGGAAAGGAGAGAAGGATTCCAGAGGTGGCGGGGGTTTGAGGAAAAAGCTTCCTTGAGCCATCCTTTCCTGCAGGAGGGCCTCAACCCTTCCTGTTCCACTGCTCTTGTTCTCCTGGAGGCCAGGAAAACAAGAGGAAAACCTTGGGGTTCCAGCCTCCCAGCTGTGGGTCCCATGAACCCCCGCTTGCCTTCCAGCACTTGGATGAACACAGACCCACTGATTCTGCTGTGTATGTTTCCTCCCTCACACACACACACAGGCCCACGGATGGGCAGACACCCCCAGAGCCCCAACCACAGCACCCTTGTGGGAAAGCAGCACAGCCCCTCCCATGTCCCTTCCCCTGCTGCATGCATCCACGTGGAGCATCTCTGTTCTTTTTAATAACTTCAGAATAAAGTCTCATTTCAGTGCAGTGGGCTGGGTAGCTGCGGGAGTGGGTGGAAAGCCCCACCAGTTCCTGAGTGAACGGCAAGCCCTCTCAGGTCTGCTCCAGAAATCCTGGCCTGGCCACAGTGCAGACTGGGTTGTAGGGCCCTAGTGGTCATGGGGCCTGGACGGGGTATCGGCTCTCAGAGGGTCAGTGGCTCAGAGCTGGTGCAGCTCAGCAGGTCACGGCCCTCCACAGGCTCTGGGCTCTCCTGCCTCTGCGGAAACACAAGAGGGTGCCAGGCTCTGGGTCTGCTCCTCCAGGACACCTAGGGGCTGGCAGGGCTGCGAGGATCTCGGGGGCAAAGGGGCATCACTATTCCCTCCCATGCAAGAGCCAGGCCATACCCTTGGAGGAACCCCAGCTTGAGCCCAGATACCCCTCCCTCCCCCTCAAGATTCATCCTGGCCCTTGGTTGGGGGGAGCCAGGTTTCAGCGCTATGACCAAGCTGCTCCCTTTTGTCTTGGGGAAAAAAACTTTTGCCCCACTTCTCAAGGCAAGGGGTAGGGGCAGACCAGCCTGGGCTCCCCAGCAAGGGCTCCCACAAATACGGGGAGTAAGGGCTGATGAAGGGGGTGGCAGGCCTTACCATGTGGTGGCTGCTTTTCCCCCACCAGGGCCTCAGTTCCAGCAGCTGGTGGGAGAGCTGGGCACAGCGCACGGCAAACACGCTCTCTGTCACACAGAACACTAGCGAGATGCCCCAGAGGCACAGGCTGGAGCTCTGCGGGGGGAGCACAAGGGGCAGGATAGAGGGGGTGTCTCTAAGAATCCGCTCCCACCTCTGATGAGCACTTGGGTGTCACCCCCCCAACCCCACCTGCTCCCTTACCCCCACCCCCTGCCAACTCCAGGCCTAAGCACTCACATAAATGCGTGTGGGGTCGAAGGGACAGTCAGGCACCAGTACGAGCACTTCGGGGCTTCCAAAAGTACAGGCGGCCAGCAGGGCCCGGCCCTGGGTAGCAAAGGTCACGGCGATCGAGGCCAAGAGGCCCAGAGCACAGGTCAGAGACAGAAGGGCACAGGCCATGCTCGAGCTAAACACTGTCCAGCGCTGGATGGGAGAGGCCACTGGTCAACGTATGTCAGGCTTGGTCCCTGTGGGGTCAGCCCTGCCCCCTCCAGGCAGGTGAGGCCCTTGGGGGCAGCCGCTGCCCCTGAGCCACCCCCACAGCCCCTTCCAGGAGGAGCCACATACCAGGGGGACGCTGGGGAGGTAGCAGGACAGCACAATGGCTGCAATGCCTGAGGTAATGACCTGCGGGGAAGGACAGTAGGCAGGGTGTGAGGGCCACTCTCGACAAAGACTCCACTGATGCCAACTCTGGCCCTCCCAGACCCCAGCCCCCCAGCCCAGTTCTGCTTTGGCCCCACTACCTCCATCTGCACGAAGCCACTGCCTCCTCACAGTCCAGTCCTGAAGAGACGTTTCTGGCACCTAGTAACCCCCTGCCTACAACCTTCCATGACTCCCCACTGCTTCTAGTTGTGTATCTCAAACAGGCACCTGTGTCGCCCAGGGCTACAGGGGCAATGTCACAGGGTATAAACGATACATCTCCCTGGAGGGGGAAAGATTCTGGAAGAAACTAAGTAACTCGACTGGCAAGGAATTAATAACAAAATTGTTATTTTAACAAGTCAGAAAACTTTGTGGAGTAGGGGCGCCCAGGCTCAGTCGATTAAGCCTCCAACTTGTGGTTTCAGCTCAGGTCTCGATCTCAAAGTCCTGAGTTCAAGCCCTGTTTTGGGCTCCAGGTTACGTATGGAGCCTACTTAAAGGGGGGGAAAAAAAAAGGAAATGTTTCGGAGTAGAATTCTGTGCACTGGGCCGGTGGCAGTCAGGTGTGTGATAGAGAACCAGCAATGTCTCTAATTCCCCAAGCGGACACAAGTTAGTGCCCCATCCTGCTGGGGCCAAGCTCCATGCCGTAGTATGAGCTCACAGAAAGGACACTAGCTTTGGTGTCAGACACAACATTTTCAAATCCAGTCGGTTTCTTTGTATCAGCAGGGCTCTGGGTGAATCCTCAGCGTGGTCTCCCCCTCTGGGCAGTGGGGATAGTCGAGGCTCCGTGTTGCCGGGAAGCTGGGAGGATTAGCTGAGAGAATGAGGGCAAAGCCGAAGGGGTGTGGCCGAGGGCCCATCCCTGGTGGATCTCCTGACCCTGGCTCACCTCGCCGCTTTACCTGACTTCCTTAAGGCTGGCAAGAGGAAGGAACCAGAGTAGCAACAAGGCCAGGGGACACCGCACACAGCTCTGCAGCCTGGCCCTGTCCCACTGACTGAGTCTGTCCTGCTTGCTGGGGCCTGTGATCTCCATTCATCCAAGGCTTGGGGCCAGCAGGCTGTATGACCTTCACTTTGCAGAGGACAGAACAGGCTTAGAGACAGAAATAAGCCCCTCACCCAGGAGGTGGCAGAGATGGAACTCCAGACTTTGAAATATGGCTGTTGCCCCAAGGCTGCCGCCTCCTCTGCCAACAGGTGGGAAAGACATTTCTGACCTTGAGAATACTGGGCTCCTTCATTCCCAAATTCCTCAAACAGGTACTGGCATCCGGGCCTAACCCTGGCCACCATTCGTTGAGCACATCTTACAGACCAAGCCTAATGCTGAGTTCCTGCCAAGTCGGCTTTTTCCGGGTCTCCAAAATAGATCTGAACCATTCCCACCTCCACACCTTTGCCTCTGCCATTCTCTGCATTTGGAATGTCATCCCAGCTTCCTCTCCTACTTGCCTGCTCTGGCATGCCTCCCATCTGGGTTACGGTAATTACAGCCTATCTTTGAACTCCTACTCATCCATCAATACCCAGCTCTGGGGCCTCCGCCTCTGGGATCCCTCCTGGACCCTCCCAAGCTAAGCTGATGCTCCTTCCTTTTGCCAGCTCTGCCTTCACTACTTCCCTCTTATTTTTTTTTTAAGATTTTATTTATTTATTTGACAGACAGAGATCACCAGTAGGCAGAGAGGCAGACAGAGAGAGAGGAGGAAGCAGGCTCCCTGCTGAGCAGAGAGCCCGATTTGGGGCTCGATCCCAGGACCCTGAGATCATGACCTGAGCCGAAGGCAGAGGCTTTAACCCACTGAGCCACCCAGGCGCCCCAATACTTTCCTCTTGTCACGTTAATCCTAGCTCACAGTAGTGAGCACGGACCAGGTGCTGGCTACTCATTAATTCTCACCGGGACCCTCTAAGTGGACACTGTTCCCTCCCCCATGTTATAGACAAGGCAGCTGAGGCAGAGAGAGAGGCTGAGAGCCTTGACCAGTGGCTAAGGTGCAGAGCGGAAGGCGTGGGGTGCTCCACTTGCTCCAACCCCAGGCTCGGGGCGGGTACTCACCAAAGGCCTTTCAAGCCCCCGGCCCCCCCTCTCGCCAGTCGCCCTCCTGGCCCAGCCATACCACAATGGCAGACGTGACAGAGAGGATGTTGACCACGCAGTACTGCAGGGCCACCGCGTCGTGGGGACTAGCCACATAGCGCAGCACGGTGCCATGGAGGAGGGCGGCTGCGATGAAGCTCACATGGCCCAGCACCACCAGCACCAGCCCTGTCTTCATCAGCACCCTCCGGAAGTCACCCACACTCAGGCCACCTGTGGGCGACAGCCATGTCAGGTCCGGGGAGGGGGGACACAGCCTCTAGAGGAGGAGAAGACCAACGCCCCAGCAGGAGTAATGGATACTGGGCTCTAAGTCCGTTTCTGCATGACTCGGGGTCATTAACTTGTCTTGAGCCTCAGTTTCCTCATCCGGAAAAGAGGTTCACAATGCCTTCCTGAGAGTCTCCTGAACTCCAAGGCTGGAAAAGCACACCAGGTGGTATTTAATAAAGCATCACAGTCCACATGAGTGCTCAAGGTCCCAAGGGGCAGGGCCATGGCTTGAACCTGGGTCTCTAGCTCCAGATCCATGGTCTTTCTGCCAAGCTCCCCAGTCACTGATTTAGTCACTCAGGAGTTTTTACACAAATGTTCACTGAATGTCTGCTCTGGGCCATGACCTTTATAAAGCACCCCGGTGAGTTTGACAGTCACGGTCCCAGCCCAAGGAGCCCCTGGTTCGTGGAGCAGGAACCGGGTCCTGCTCAGGATTCACTTCGGAATACAGAGCTGAGCACACAGCAGAGAATGAATTCACAATTGCTGAACTGACTTGGGGCAAAAAACTCAAGCCTCTGGGTATCCATTTCCTCATCTTTAAAATGGGAAGAATAACTCCTGTCTCCCAGTGGAGAAG